CACACATATGAATTGATCGACAAAGGAGTTCCAATTTTTCTAGATTCGATTTCCAAATTTGGTAATAATCCTGACTGAATTATGTTGTGAAGATAGAGTTTATGTAATTATGAGATAATAATTAAAATTATAATTCCTATATATATATAACCAGATTGAACACGTTGAAAACAATATATAAAAGGATGTGGCTAAAATTAGATAGAAAAAACTGGTTTATTAATGATACATAATTTACATGGGGTTTATATATATCCAAATCAGGTAAAGCAATTTTTATGTCATATGAAAGCAAAACCCCTAATTTGGTAACAAACATCTTGACTTTGCCTTTTTTCTTTGTGCGTATGCATTAAATTATTAATAGATTGCCATAAGAGCAAAAAAGCTCGAGTTTTTAATTGTAAACATTGATTGATGTTCCAGTGAAGCACTAATTAATTATACTATAATAATAAGTGACAAATAAATAATAAATATTGATATAATACTGTCATATATATATATATACCTGGCTGGTAATAAAATTCTTATGTACTATATACCATTATCCTTGTCATAAATAAAAATAGTAAAAAATACAAATACCATTATCCTTGTCATAAATAAAAATAGTAAAAAATACAAATACAGTCAGAACTCATTAAAGTCAATGTTACAAAAAAAAATCTTTTTCCTCTTAGAGATATATATGAAGTACATATATATATATATGGGATTTAACTAAAATGGAATTGAAACTCTTTTACAAAACCAGTTTCGAAACAAGTAATTCCTCTTTATCTGTCCAATTCAGTCTCTGTGTTTGTTATCATGACTGAAAAACATTCTCCAATTCTTCGTATTTTTCATTATCAAGCACTGCTACAACTACTCTCTTGTATCATAAGGGATTGTAACTATGGAAATTTGAATATTTTTTCTCAGCATTTGGTCAGTTTTAGACATCATGAACTTTAAAATAATAAAAAGTTAATTTTAGACAAGAAATTCAATTAATTGTAATGTTGAATTTGACATTTAGCTTTGAAACTAATTCAAAACTGGTCTGATTTGACATTTGTTTTAACTTTGAAACTGATTCCGATTTGACACTTGTTTTAACTTCAAAACTGTTCCAATGAATTCCGATTTGACACTTGTTTTAACTCCAAAACTGTTCCAATGAAACTGATTCCGATTTGATACTTGCTTTAACTTCAAAACTGATTCAAAAATGTTCCAATGAAACTGATTCCGATTTGATACTTGCTTTAACTTCGAAACTGATTCGAGACTGTTCCAGTGAAACTGATTCCGGTTTGACACTTGTTTTAACTTCGAAACTGGTCCAATTGTTTCATCTTTACAAGAGATCTTGAAATAAAGAAATCTATACAAATTTTTGAATATAAATACAAGATGTTTTTACCAAGCTATACCAATAAAAAATTTAAATATCTCTTTAATAATATATAGCAAGTATATAAATTACTAAAAATCAAAATTCTTTTTCCTGATTTAAACATTAAAAATCACATTTTCTTTTCCCGATTCAAATATACCATTATATCTTAAAATGCCCAAACCTAATAAAAGACAAATTCACATTGCAAAACTAGCCCAAAACAAAAGACGAAGTAGTGATCCAACACATGTAGATAATGTCCCAAATACCAGTGATGACATTGAAATGAATTTAAATGAAGATCTGAGTTCTGAAGCCAGATCTGAAGTTGAAGTTGAACCCGAAGTTGAATCTGAAGTTGACGCCGAAGTTGAACCCGAATCTGACTCAAGTTCTGACGATGATAAACCCTGGGAGGATATGGATATGAATAAAATTGAAAATTTTACCATTGTGAATAACACTTCAATAAAAAGCAGGTCTTTTTATATGGGAAATTCAATCAGAACACAACAAAGACGTTCCAAAGTGTTGAGAGATGCATCAGTTGGATCTTCTAAAATTACCAATTTTTTCAATATCCAAACTTCTAATAGAGATCAATCTGAAGGTGATGACTGGAAAAATAGAATGGATTCTGTTGAAGAAGCTCTTAGAAACCCCGATTTAGACAATGATGCAAAGTCTAGGTTAACAGCAATCGGGATGTATTTTAGAAATTTAGATGATGGTAAAAAAAAGGTTGAAGCAAGTGAGATAGTGGCAGTATCTCTAGGTTGGACAAAAAATTATAAAAGTAAATGTATTAGAGCGTGGGCTAAACAATGGATTAGAAACAATACTGTACCTACTTCAAAGAGAGGAAAACATCCTAAAATACAAAGCCTATGGAATCATGAAGACATTGCTGCTCAAGTAGGAAGTTATATACGATCTAACAAATCTGATATAACACCCAAAAATTTACGTGAGCATGTTAATGGTACAATATTGCCAAATATAGGAGTGGATAATGAAGATAAGCAAATATCTGAATCAACTGCAGAAAGATGGCTTAGAAGATTAGGATGGGTGTTTGGTACTTATAAAAAAGGGTTTTATTTTGATGGTCATGAGAGAGTTGATGTTGTAGAATATAGAGAAAAATTTTTAAAATTTATAGAAGAGCAATACAAACCTTATGCCCCTCACTTTGAAGGGAATGATTTGGAAAATAGAATTAACCCAGTGTTAGAAGATGGTGTCAAGATGAGAATTCTAGTAACACATGATGAATCTATTTTTCATGCAAATGATGGAAAAAGTCAAGGTTGGATGCTAGCAGGTCAACAACCTCTAAGAAAGAAAGGCAAGGGAAGAGGGATACATGTTAGTGATTTTTTGACAGAAACAATTGGTAGACTACATCTCAGCGAACAACAACATCATTCCCAATTACCTAAAGAAAGCCATGAAATTCTTGAAATAGGATCAAATATTTGGTGGACAACAGAGAAGTTAAAGGATCAAATAATAAATAAAGCAATACCAATATTTAATGCCACTCATCCAAATTGCACAGCTCTTTTTGCATTTGATAATGCAACTTCACATGCTGCCTTCGCCAGCAATGCTTTGGTTGCATCTAAAATGAATTGGAATGATGGTGGAAGTCAGCCAACAATGAGAAATACTGTATTTGATGGTGCTGAACAAAAGATGGTTCATCCTGATGGAAAGCAGAAGGGGATGAGAACAATATTAACAGAAAGAGGTCTATATAAGGATGGATTGAGAAAAGTATGTCCTGAATGTAAAACAAAAAAATCAAGAGATCAAAACAGAAAATTAGATTGTTGTGGCTTGAAAATATTAGAATTACAACCTGATTTTCAAGCACAAAAAGGAACTATCCAAGAAGAAATAGAAAAAAGAGGTCACATGGTAGTATTTTACCCCAAGTTCCATTGTGAACTAAATTTTATTGAGATGTATTGGGGTGCTGCTAAAAGATATACAAGAGAAAACTGTGACTACAGTTGGAGTGGACTAAAAAATACAGTACCCTTGGCCTTGGATTCTATTTCTGTTTCATTAATAAGAAAATATGCATGTAGATCCTTCAGGTACATGGATGCATATAGGAAAGGATTGTCTCTTGGTGATGCAGAATATGCTGTAAAGAAGTATCGTTCTCATAGAAGAATTCCTAATGATGTATTGTCATCAATTATTAATAATTAATGAATTATATATATAGTTGTTTATTTATTTATTTTGTACTGAGTTACCTTTAAAATTCTTATTTTCTAAAATAAAATTTTCAATTCTTCCAATTTGTTTATTTTTAATATATCCAGTAAAGTATGATACAGTTGTTACGACAATTTGTAAAGTATAATCTATTGCCAAGATCATTAATGAATCCTCTTCTTTTTTTTCAATATCAATTACGTGGGCAGTAAAGCATCTATATAAAAATATGAAAATGGAAAAGATTTTTCCGTTAGCCAAATTGACTATGCAAGGCTACCTTGAGTAAAGACATAAGTTAGCTAACACATGAGCCATCTTAAGTGGGGTCACTCCTCCTATGAAGGTCAGTCAGTGAAAAGTTCCACCCACTTTATTAATTTTTGAAAAAATTAATAATTCACTGAACTTTCAACGACTATGAACTACCTAACACATTGGCCTGAACTCAGTGGGGTAACTGCTAAGATCATATAACAGGATGATTGTCACAGCCGTAAATAAGTTCCACCCACTTTTAATTTACTTGAACTTTTAGTAACACTTGCCTTGTATAGTGTGGTCAGCAATCCAAAATGATTTTTGATTAAAAACAGGATGTTTCGTTGTTATCATCTTCATTGAAGTACTTCCTGAACATTGAAGCATTCATCTGAGTATTTAAATCAACTCTTACACCAAATTCATAATTTATTATTAAAAATGGAATGGCAGAATAATTTTTTTTTGCGTAAAACTTAAAACCTAATTCAGATGGTTTTCTTAGATTATTAATAGATTACCATAAACTCAAATTTTTAAATGTAAATATTGATTGGTTCGGATTGTTAATTCAAATCCCAGTGAAGCACTAATTATATATATATGTAATTTTATTATTTATTATTCATGTCTCTTTAATCATTAAAATAAATAAATAAAAAACAAACAAATAAATTTTTGCTCAACAAATGAATAATAATGTAAAGTATGCCTTGACCCTTGCATTTGAATGTAACATGTAAAGCCAAATCATAGAATGCCATTTCGGCACGATGTACCTCAACCCTCGAATTCGAATGCAATGTAAAAAGCAAAGTCGATGCACGTTTTTTCTGCGATTTTTTGGTCCACAAGTGGGGTATATAGCAGATCTATTTATATGTTTTTGCAGTAATTTATTAGACTCTCGATCAATGCATCATTTGGCCATGAAACAGTCTATTTTATTAGGATGCAACGTAAAAAGTAAAACCGATGCATGTTTTTTTGCGATTTTTTGGTCCACAGGTGGGGTAACGGGTCTATTTATATGTTTTTGTAGTAATTTATTAGACTACTCGATCAATGCACCATTTGACCACAAAATAGTCTATTTTATTAAAAATAGCATCATTGATAATGAATGCTTCGAATCCGGTGCTAATTTTGATGCTCTGAACGAATATATATGACACCAAAGAATATCTATGAAAATTTAGAATGACCCAAGAGAATGTTGGTGTTACGAAAAAAATATGGGACAATCGCCCTATTTATATGTTTCGAATTTAATAAAATAGGCTATTGTCTTGACCAAAGTGATGTGATTTTTTTGCTCTTTGCGACGAAGACACAACCCAAACCCAACTTAACTTTAATGTCAACGTAATGCTAAAATAAATAAAAATTTTGATCTCACGTAGCATGGCATGCATGATTGTGTAATATGCAAAAAAGCAAAAGCTCGTGTTGTGTTCTCAGTTGTAAACTTGTTTTTTTCCATTCATTATTATTATTATCACGTGATAAAGAGTATAAATTTCAAAATTTCCAATTCTTCCAATTCGTTCATTTTTAATATAAAAAATTTGTGTGTAACACGCCATTTTTGGGGGTTAACATAGTAAACTCGTGAAACTTTGAGAACTTTGATGTGTCACTCCTCCATGGTAGCGTGACATATCAACAAAATGAAATCATAGAATTGTAGAGAAAGGTCTTAGCTTTAATTCTATGATTTGTTTTTTTGGTCATACATTTCCATTTTTGGAGAGGATAGAGGATTTACACAGCCAATAAAAAGTTCAGTGACTAAGTGACGTGCACTATATACATTTGATTCCAATAATATCTTTCAGCAATCCTATGATAGGTTGCTTCAATTCCAAAGTGTCCCGCCAACGAATCGGCATGTAAGTTGTGTAAAATAATTTCAACCTCATTTGATTTCACCACCCGAAGGGGTCTTTGAGGGTTCTTCTTGTT